TGAGCGCAGGCTGTGAGAAGGGGCGGAGGGCAGGCCCCTGTAGGGAAGAGGGCCAGGAGACCAAGGCATAAATTCTTGAAAAGTTTCTCTACCTGATCTGACAAGAGGAACAAAGAATTTCTCTCCTTGCCCCCTCCCCAAGAAAGCCCACAAGCCCACTTTTCATGCCCATTCCCATCAGAGAAGATAGCTTTCCAGGTACCAAATTGTAGGCTGAATTTTCCAGATGGAGGTATGCCTGGGTACCCTGTGATATGCGGGAGGACTGCCTTTGAGAGTCGCATCTGCATCTTTGCATTCCCCTTGGGTTCCCCTTATAGTCTTGGAGGGCCATGCGATGAGATGGAAGGCTGGATCTGCTTAGTGGAATAGTGAGCCAGCCAGCTCAGCTTCTTATATCAAAGTGTGGTCCTAGAGATCAAGGCCACAGTTTTGTACTCCCAAGGTCCGCTTTAGGCAAAACCATTCCTACTTCCAGCACATATTTAAACACCTGCTATGTGTTCAGCACCTAAGGTCATTCATTTCACCCCCCATATGTACATACACTCTAGCTGGTAATACAAAATAAACACATTATTTACCATTCGAGACAGTATATAATAAATTACTAAACTGAATACAAACAGAAGGGGGTAGGGTGGGGCATTGAGAACTATAATTGATCAGGGAAGTTTCATGAAGTAGGTGACACTGGGTAGGTCCTTTAGCAAGACTAAATTTGAACATTTGGGATGAGGGCTATGGAGGTCAGAGAAACAATGTCTTGCAACCAGTTACATTTTCTCATTCTCACAATTCCACATTTAATGATGTAGAGGTGTTTGTATGTGTGCGTTTAAGTACACAAAGAGGACAGTTACGGAAGATTTCCAGGAGACCTCTACTAATAATTCTCTCCTTTAGTTTCTCCTTCCCCCTCTTTTCCTTCAATGAATAAACCAAAAGAGAACAAAGAATATTCTCTGATTACACACCTTGTGGAACTCAACTGAGAGTAGCTCCCTCATCCCCCAATATGATCTTCATGAACCCAGTGTAGTACACTCATTGTTGACCATGAAAGCTTAGTTCTAAATTATTTTCCATGAGGACAACTCCCCAGCTATAGATTGACTCTTTAAACCCAGCAAATGGTGTCATAGATGCCACTAGTAACATGGATAGGGGCAAGTAATCTAGACATTCAACACAAATTCCAAACTCACAATATTAAAACATCAAAGAAGAACTTCCCAAGGATGAGTTCGAGTAAGTTATAGCATTATTATTGAATATGAAAGCACCTTTTTTGCCAAATTCATCATTTGTTCTGTGTACACCGAAGTGAAGAGTAAGAAACCAAAGTGAAGTATAAAATGTACAGTACAGAAAACATTAATTGTAAAAATTAACTTGTAAAATTAAATCACAAAAGACAGGTCATTTATAACTAATTATAATTTGTATTCATCTTATCTTTGGGAGAAGCACAGTATTGTAGAGCACGTTGCATAAATCCCTCACGCTCCTTTAACATGTACAATATACCAAGCCATACCAGGGAACACTCTAAAATCAGAGCTAATTAACCTTTGAGCTGTCTAGGGATAACTGTAGAGCCAATTTTTTATTTTATAGTTAAATATACACACATAAATAAAATGAGAAGTGAAATCGCCTCCATTAGCAATATGTCAACTCATAAGTCTTAATTAGAACATAATTACAAAAATGATTCTATTTTTTCAAATCATGTCATTTTTACCCAATACAAGATTTAATACCTCTTCCAGATTGATGTTTTATAATTATTAGTTGCATCTCACATATCTTACCTGAGCTGGATTGTTGCCATCCACGGCAATGGCTGCAGTAGATGCCTTGAAATTTAGATTTTTTAAAACTTTTCTTCAAAGATAAAAAAATAAAGAAGACTCATATAAGTCATCAAGATGTATTGCCTACTGAAATAAATTTTTTGAAATGCAGTTTATTTTGTAGGTAATACAACTAAAAATGAAATAACTAGGAAAAAATGTGTGTGGCCTAGTTCTGTTAAAAAAAGAGAGAGAAAAAATGCTTGTTCTTAGGGTTGCTGTTGATTTGGCCTTCAGTTACTAGAGAAACTTCAAGGATCTCGTTCTCTTTATGGTTCATGTCTAGGCATGCCTGGAGACCAGGGAGACCCATGATTTAATCTAAGTAAGAATGCTTGTGGTGTTTAAAATGCTGAAATAGAATTTGTGTTTGTTTTAGACAGCACCAGGAAGGTACCTTTCATGGGGAATTGTTTACTGTTTTATTTAATTTCTGGGCTTTTGGTGAAGAGGGAGATGGGGAAGGAGCACTAAGGAAGGGAGGTGAGATTAGTGATTAGGAGGAAACCAAGAAGAG